ATCTGTCAAATAATTATGAAAGTCCGTCGTCAGGATTCTATGGATTATACAGGATTATTGCGGCATCGATACGATGCATTTCTTCGCGTTTGGCTTAAAAGACCGGCTTTGAGAGATAGATGGACGCACGCACATGACTCAATCGAGGACTCGTATAACCGACCGACGTTGTGATTAGGCAACGTGATTCCTCCCGCGTCGGAGGAAAGTATAATCGCCGCGAAACGATCAGGTAATCCTCAAACAGGTTTAAAACTATAATCGATTACTCGGCAGCACTTTCCGGAACGCCTCTTGAGTGATTTTAGGTTTAGAATCTTCGTCAACGACGCCTTTATCCGATACGAGGTACATCGGGGTGCGCCGTCTTGACCCAATTTGCACGACCGGCTTAATTAAATCAGTCCTCCGCTGTTTCTTCGGGGATCGATTAAGCGGGTGTATACGCTGGAGCTGAGAGTGCGCGCGCGCTCTGACAGATTTAATGCGCTTCGCCGAATCCCGAGAATCAAGAGAATTGTTCGAAATTAGTTGCGATAATTAATGTTTGAAATCACGGCAACTTGGAAAATTATTACGACTGTCGTAAGTAGTTCCCCCCAATTCGCGTCCAAAATAATCCATGATATATAAGGTCGAGATATTGAAAAGAATTAGCGGGCATTATTTAATATTGCTCATAGTTATTATTCAATCATCTTTTAGATCGTTAATCATTTAATGAGAGAAAATAATTTGGAAAAGTGTACGATTCTCGATTTAAAAAAAATTCCATATCTTGAAATATTATCCCTCGTATGATTTCAAATTTTTCTCCACTTTTAATCTCACTCTTCAATTTAACATTTATTTTGATATTTTAAACACAGTTAAATTACTCCGTTTTGAAGTTATCTATAGTTTTGCCAAAAATTTCTCTAAATATTTAAATGGCAAATTGTTTGAGATACAAAATATAAGTTTAATTTTTCTGTATAAATTGAAAGATATAAAAAAAATTATAAATTTTTATGTATGAAAAAATATAGTAAATTATAATTTCATTTAAATAAATATATAGAAAATTCATACATGTAAAATTTATAATAATAGACTATTATTATAATTTATTATAAATTAAAACTGAGGAAATCATAGAAGCTATAAGTGTTGAAAATTGGAGCAAAATTTCGGCTCTGGAGTTTCGATCGAATCTCTTTATTCTCTTTTCAATAATTTCAATTACATGTATTTATAAATATTTTATAAATACTTAATATTCTCAGCAATAATTTAGAAAGGAGAGCATTTTTGAACGCATGTACATATGTTTGTGTGTTTTTATCGAGAATTAAATTTCTTTAATGATTCCGCGTTTCTTCATTCGATCGCACTCTCTTACTCAATCTGCCACTAGCCACTACTCTCCCGTCCGCGTCTTGAGAGACGACTAACAGCGGCGTCGGGAATCACCTTGTTCGCGTTAGCTGCGTGACCACGATACGTCACGTCGTAGGTACTCTCGTCGAGTGCATTGATCTAGCGCGATCAAGCGATCGAGGCATCTAGTGCGCGCACGATGACTCGACGAAGCGAGTAACGCGAACGAGTGGCTCGGGGATGAGGCGGGAGAGGGAAGGAGCGAGGGGGGTGGGTGGGGAGGGGGTTAATTAGCCGTACACGCCACTTCTCTCTCTTTCCCCCGCGCCGATCGCCACGACGTCGCGTCGCGTCGCGACAAGGACGCGCCGCGCCGTCGCTCCTCGCGCACAATTCCTCTCCACGTGGAGCATATCAGCCCCGCGCGCGGGAGGGGGGAAAGCCCCCGCGCTCCATTGACTTGATTCGCCAAAGGACGCTTTATATCTCCGGCCCACATACTAGCGCACCTCTTCTGTCGCGCGACCTCCATTCAGTCCAGTGTAAATATAAAGCGCGCCGGGCAGCTCAAGCTCGATCGCATCTCTACGAGAGGAGGAGAGGTCGAGAAAAAATCTCTTTGACACTTTGACACCTGCCGCCATGTGAATCGATCTCTCCGTTTCGTGGATAATTAGCGGACGGATAACAAACGTTAGCGTGACTTTTCAGCGATCGACGGCAAAAACTTAGCAAGGACCTGTAAATTTGCATTTCTATTTCAGAGAGCTATTTTTTATTTGTTTCATTTAAAATGTACTTTACCCGAGGTACCCCTGGTAGAGAAAGGGAAAGAGAAAGCATTATTTTATCGAGCGTTCCGGGATGAATTCCCTCGAGTGTTTGAATCACAAATACACGGTACTTGTTAAATAATGATCGCTCGCAGATGCGTGATTAGTTGAATTGATGCTCGAGAAACTTGCAAGTTCATAAATTTTACGTCTTTGCGTCTCATGCCTCAGAGTCCTGGACAGACGGTCGAGAGGGTAGCCGAGAGGAAGTGGAGTGACGCAGTGATTTTTCTGTCAAATCCGACCGGCAAGCCCGGATAGACCGAGTCTCGTGGGTCGAGGAATATCGCAGGGAAATCAAGGTGGCGGAAATTACGGCACTTGGCGAGCACTCGGAGCCGCAAGGCCGTGTATTTTTAACTCGAGAACCTTCCGGCAGCCCCGTGTTGCCGCGGGATCAATACCTACACCTACACACAAGCAACCCCGTCTCGTTGCAAGTGGAGAGAGACCGCCGCTAGCTTTAACCTACATATCCTCGCGAGCCCGTAAAGTCGAGTAGCGGCCGGAAAAAAGCGGATGCGCAGATGCGAGGAGCGCGAGAGATGCTCTCCTCGATAGGAGAGTCGGAGAAAATCTCGTTTCCGTCTCCATGGAAATATATTTCTTCGCGATATATTTGATTCGTTGAACGCGCGACGAGAGAGCGAGTCGCTTCTCAATTCTCTATAGACGTGCGATATTTTTTTCCGTTAAATAATTGCGTTACCTTTGGACGTCTTGAAATATTTTTTATACACGCGCACAATAGCCCGCAACTTTTTTCAGCGAGGAAACAAAGATCGCCCGGAAAATTGTAAATTATTTTTTTCCCAAGCAAACAATAATTACTAGATACGCTGTGTTAGATGACAAGGCGTAAGGGATCCTTGTTGAAGTATCCCAGACGCAATAACGCAATCGTGTGTAGCATGTGCGTACATCCCTCTTTTTACAGAGAGAGGATACTCTGTGCCAGCTTTGCGAAATAAAATCCGCGTAAGAGAGAAACGGAAGAGCCCGGGAAAAAGCAAAGTCGCCTCGCGTCTTCGAGAGGGTCACCGGCCCGAAAGTCGTAGAAACTCTTTTGCGGTTCTCGTCTTTCTCCGATTGCCCTCTCCTCTCTCTCTCTTCTCGGATCGAGCGACATTGCGGGGTCGAAGAAGAGAAGCCAGAAAAGGCGGAATCGAGTTCCGAGACTCGGCTCGGGTCGCGCCGGATATACCCCGACAGTCGCGGAGAAGAAGCCCTTGGTAGACGCCCAAGAATCTCTATTGCGAGAAAAGAGAAAAGAAGGAGGAGGAGGGACGAGAGAGGGAGAGCAGAAGCACCTTTCGCTCTCGGTGCTGTTTGAAGAGAAAAGCGACTTTCGCGATTGCGATGGCGCTCGCGAATAAACGTTCGCTCCTCTCACGATGTATCTAAAAGCGGGCACGGTCTCCCTTTTATTATCTCTCGACTCGTTCGCGTTAGAGAATCTGCATCTACGGAGACGTAAGCACTTTTACACGGCACGTGTGTTACGCGTTGCATAATTTACGCGACGCGCGTAAACAGTTGTATAAAGAAGGTGGAATGTAAGAACTCGCGCCTGGGATTTTATTTCTTGGCGAAGAGGAGAAAATAATATGAATACGATTTATTTCGCAAATAATAATTTAGTGTCGTTAATTAGTATAATTAATCAAATTTACACATTCACGTTTTACTATTTATTATTTAAACAAACACTCGATCGTAAAAATTGTAGTGAAATTTTCGAAAATTTTCTATTATTTATTTAACGTCGTTTAATAATATCTTTAATCGCGCGGATTCTAAATTACCGTTAAATACACATTTTACGCGGGAATAATTCTCTTTCGCGGATTCTCTCATCTTTCGTCGAGTCCTCGAGGTAGCATTATCTCAGATGCGTCTCGAGGGGCAACGACGAGGAACGACGATCGGCTTGGCTCTCTGTTTCGGTTCCTTGAGCGCACGAGGCCGAGAAACGGCGCGAGGTAAGGTAACCGGAAGCCGCGTTCCGTTTCAATGCGCGCGAACCTCGCTCGTGAAAGGAACCGATAAACGCCGTCGAATCCTTCTCCAAGCGGACGAGCTCCTTTGACGAGATCTCTTCCCACGCGGAATCCCCACCACGACGACGAACATCTCGATCTTTGCATACAACTTGGCAAAAGGGGATGAGAGGAGGGAGAGAGCGCACTCGACGATCTATTGTCGGTCCTTAATAATGCGTACGGGAGAACGGGCGCCGCCTTGCGCGATAATGTTCCCATTCGACGATCGGCAAACTTGGCGCCACTCATTTGTGAATCGTAATTAAGATTTGCCGAGAGGAGAGTAGAATAGATGCCACGAAAGCGCGTTTAACCCTGTAATGTACGAATTGAATCGGAAATTGAAAGGAGGAATTTGTCAGCTAGCTGCATCGGGTGACTGGAGAAGAATGTACAAATCCATTCAATCACTTTAAATAATTTAATATCTCGTATTTTATGTAAATAAATAAAAACCCGTTGTATTCTTTGTCAAAAGATAAACATTCTTTTCCTTTGACAAAATTTTCAAAATGCATCGAGATCTCGTTTTTCATACAATATGCCAATACAATTATTTCGTTAATAATGAAACATTTAAAGAAATTTGATTAAAGTTGATAAAGTACATATTAAAATTCATCGTGTAATAAAAATATTAATGTTATATGGAATGCTCTGTATATATATTTTTTCAAGGTATCGCGCATACAATACCAGCAATTATTATTGCATCATTTGATTACGGTAGATTTTTCATAATGTTTCTTTCTACATGTGATTACAGATCCTCAGATATTCGCGACTATCGTGACTCGCATGACGACAGTTCGCGCGCGGTGAAGAATCGACGGTCACCACATCCGGCAGCTCCGTTAGTCGAGCGCACGTGTATATAACACACTACCATCTCCGGAACAATTCCCCGCCGGTGGCAAAACGGCCGATCGTGCAGACGTCCTCGGTGCTATCCCGGTGCGAGCGACGACAACAGCCCAAAGATTCTCCCACCAAAGGCCAAGATGCATATCGAGGTGCAGGTGGCGCTTAACTTCGTGATATCGTATCTCTACAACAAACTGCCGCGCAGACGGGTGAACATTTTCGGCGAGGAGCTCGAGAAGGCGCTCAAGGACAAGTTCAAGGGCCACTGGTATCCGGAGAAGCCGTTCAAGGGCTCGGCGTTCAGATGCCTCAAGACCGGCGACCCGGTCGACCCGGTGCTGGAGCGCGCCGCGAAGGAGAGCGGGGTGCCGATCCAGGACATCTTGGAGAACCTGCCGGCCGAACTCGCCGTCTGGGTGGATCCCGGCGAGGTGAGCTACCGGATCGGCGAGCTGAACGCCGTGAAGATCCTGTACTCGGAGACCGGCGACCCGCACGACGAGACCTCGGCCGATCGCGAGGTCACCAAGACCTTCAATCCGGAGGCGCAGTGCTTCAGGCCGATCGAGGCCGTCAGCACGTCCCTGAGCGGTCTCAGCCTCAGCCCCAAGTCCACGTCGCCGTTCTCGAGTTCGCTCGGCAGCAACGCCAGCAACGGCTCGTCCAACAATCAGCAGAACGGCCACGGGTCCGGCTCCTCGTCGGCACCCTCGCCCACGCCCATCACCAGCTCCTTTAAGGGCTCGCCCAGCCCCGTGCCGGCCTTCATCCCGCGTACCACCGCTCCGCTTACCTTCACCACCGCCACCTTTGCCCAGACCAAGTTTGGCAGCACCAAGCTTAAGACTAGCAGCAAACGCGCCAACAGGTTAGTATATGAGGCAATATTCTCCCCACTCTCTCAATTAATTCACTAATTCAGGTTTAATCGTCGAAGCTTAGGAATATTTAGAGAGATAATTAATCATGGTTTATCATTGTAGAAATAAAATTTATTTATTTTTTTCTAAACATTGTTCATCATTTTCTAAACGTTAATAAAAACGTTTCGTATGATTAATCAGCGTTAGTCATGAATACAGATTAATTTTCTAAATTACATAACGATTACGAGTTTTGCAAGAAAAGAACAGTATAATAGATATTTTTCTCGCATAATGATGTATGAAAGTAGTTATCGTGGGGAAGATTTATCATGATGCAATTGAAGCTTATTGCTATTCGAGAAGTATTAACCACAATATATAAAAAATATCAAGTAAATTATAATTTGAAGAAATTATTATTTGTATTTGTTCTCATTATTCTTGGCAAATCTTTTATATAATCTAATCTACATGTATTCATAGAATGCTGCTTGAAATTGTCTCAGGTATTCTCACATTTACCGCCGGTAAAAATTAGCTTTATTCATCTCCCGCGGTACAAAGAAGACAAATTGCACGGTGGGACCGCCTTTAGATGAACAATTAACCAATATCACGCTACAATACAAAATAAGTAGAAGCAACTAAGCATGCCTGTTCAAAGCTTACAGAGAAAATTTGTTACTAAAACGTTCAATTGTACATTGCCAATAGCAACGATGAATTAACTAACTTTAGTTGGCCGCGCGTACTAACCGGACCGCGAGACGATCTACCATCCTGGGACATACATACGCAAACGCGTATACACATGTACACGCGCAGGCACTGATGAACCGCACGGTACCGCTCGGTTTCAGGATGTCGCCCACCGAGTTCTCAAACTATATAAAGCAGCGCGCAGCGATGCAGCAGCAGATCCACCATCACCACCACCATCAGCAGCAACAGCAGCAGCAGCACCAGCAGCCGCCGCAGCAGCAACCGCCGCAGCAGCAACAGCAGCAGCAACAGGTGACCGCGGCCGGCGCAGCGGGTCTGCCGGTTTCACAGAACTCGCCGCGCAGTCGCAGTCTATCACCCGGTAGCATAGTCGCCGCTGCCCCGCAGCAACACACGGACCCGAGCGCGTACTTCTTTCAGCACGGCCCGGCCGCAGCGGCGGCGGCGGCGGCGTATCACGCGCAGTTCCCTCATCGCAACATCTTCGACTCGTCGAACCACGGCGGCTACCTGCCGGCCGATCTCTACGCCGGCGCCAAGTTCCCATCGTCGTATCTCGACCCGACCGCGCTCGCCGGCCATCAGTTTTACGGCGGCGGCATGAACGGCACCGGCGCCAACGGCACTGGCGGCAGCGTAAATGGCACGGGTACCGGGGCCGCGGGCACCCAGAGCACTGGCAGCGGTAACCTCGGCCCGATCGGCTCCGCGACGACCAACGCCGGCGCGGCAGCGGCGGCGCAACAGCAACAGGACAAGAGCGCCCTGGTCGAGGGCCTCAACAACTTCGGCCTCGGCTCGGTCGCGCCCTATCCGGCCAGCCAGTATCAGCATCTGCTCGTGGCCAACTAATACCTCGCCGCGCGTGCTCATCAAACCATCAATGCCGGCAATGCTGCCGCAGTGGGACGCCGACAGCATCGGCGTCCCGACGCGCGCGGTCCCGCCCTCGTCATCGGTGCCGCTGGTCCGACGGCGGGCAGGAAGGAGAACGGAAGACCGTCGTCTCCGAGGCTCCGTCGCCGAGACGGCGTCCAGAGTCCGGCTTCCGTACCTTGATAACTGGAGTCTGTCCCAGTCTCTGTGTCTCTCTTCCCGGATCGCGCCAGCAAACGGTCGATAAGATTCATGTGTCCTCTGCCGCGGTTCCCATCCAGACGCTTTCTCAGGACGCTCTTCCGTTCGATTTTTGCCAATACAAGAAACTACTTTGTATATACACACTATCGGTAGCTATCGACGACCGGGCGAGAGATAGAGAGCGAGCAAAGACAGGGGGAGAGACAAAAGGAGCCGCCTCGGCGATCGACACCGATGACGATCACGGAAGCGATCGAGGCGAGGAAAGAAGACGCGATAGGACGGAGAGCGTGTGCGTGTGGAGATGATGCCTGGTTGCGAGATAGCGTGTGCGTGCAGAACGTCTTAGGCGTGGAGGAGAAAAGAGGAGGAAAAGGAGAAAGGAAACGGCTAAAAACGACTAACGAGAGCGTGTATATGTGTTAAAGTTAAAACACCCGATAAGGACTCGATTGCGATGCGAGGCGCGAGGCGCTCGTTCGACGATAACCGCATCGCGCCGTGTGACTACTGCACACGTAACACACACGCACATATACACCCACATATACATGCACCCAAAGATATACGCATACATGACGCACCGGCGGATGTTCGAACGATGCGTCGAGCGCCGACATCTGGGACAGTAAAGCCACACTCGACGCATTACACATAGAGATACACGCGAAACACACACACACACACACACACACACACACACATGCATATGCAGCAGATGTATACATACCGATCTTCCCTTAAACGATCCTATACGATACGAACCCACGCGGGCACACTACGTAGATCACCACACGTCACACGCGAGACACATACGTATTGAGGAGAAAGAGAGAGAAATCACATATATACGCCAACACTAACCCACACACAGATATTACCAATGTGTAATAATTTATTTTTTCACTGGTATATAGTCGGAAAGAATTGAATAATGAATATATCTGTAGAGCCTATGTATTATATTCAAGATATGCACACTCACTCTTCACGGGTTCTCGCGAAACGGTGTAGGAACTACAACAACAATTATCCCCGACTCGTGTCGAGCGAACCGTCGACGAGATTCGATGTTAGATCGATTTAAGGCAAAGGTGTCTTCCAAGCTTTCTCCGCATCGTGACGTCGCTTGCGTTTCGCGCAGACCGGATAATGCATTTTGGATTGCAACGCGGAAGCTATTCAGGCACTAAATACGTAAAGCGCGCGTCTGTAAACGAATCTGAAGATCGCGGGTAGCTTCCCCGCAGAAAACCTTCGAATAGAGAAAGGAAGAACCTAAATAAAATTAATGACGGCTTGTTCATTCGCACGAGACGGTACGATAGTATGAAGAGGAACAACACGATCGGGACGAAGGATCGAACCTTCCACGAATATAGTGATAGCGTAGGGAAAGAAAGAACTGCTCGCAGTTTTATACCGTTCGGAAAACTCGTCCTCGGTACGATTTTACATTTTATTTTTATAATAAATGCAGTAGAACGTAGGAGAGAGAACGAGAGAGAGATAGAGAGAAAGAAAGAAAGAGAGAAAGAGAGAGCGAGAGAGAGCAAGAGAGTGTGTGGCGAGTGATATGTAATGGGAGAAAGAGAAAGAGGAGGAGAGGAAGAAGTAGAAAAAGAGCCAGCCGGTGTGTTCGTAAGGGACGTTGAGTGGCCTCGTTGCCGGTCCCCGTCCGCCCCAGAAAAACCATCGGGAATCGATTTCCTTTCGAGATATTGCCTTTCGATTTGACATCCGGAGTCGATGACCCTCTAAGCTGTCGGAGAAAACCTCTTCGAATTGTTAAACCACGGCCCCTTTGCCGCTATGTGTTTGAACGAATCCAGAAATTCCTTTGTTATTATTTTATATAATCGTTATAGATAGTATTCTATTTATGTAAATAATTATTCGTAGGCGAACAAAAAACATAATTTGTTGATCAAAATAAATTGTTTCAAATACAATAATTAAAAGCGCGATTCAAAGTTTAGCATCGAAGTTGAGTTCTTGTGACAGCGTCCTTTTAATCAAACCGAACGGAGAGCTTTACGGTGCTAAAAAAAGTATCAAGTACAAAGATAGCGCAAAAAAGAGAGCCAATCCAAAAGAAGAATAATCGGGCGGGCGGAGGGCAGTCTCGCGAGAGCAACGAGTTGTCGCTTAGTGTTCACGAGGTTAATTATGTGATTACATAAAAAAGGCCGCGCGTTATTGTCGACGAGTTCGTCTGATCACGAGAATTGCGTCGAAATTCGATCGTCTTTTAAAACATTTCAATTACGATATTACACAATTATTTTACTTATTATAAAATTAAAAAAAAAACTTTTATTCTTGTTATAAATTAGTCTTATAGCTAAATTTTTAATTCGTCATTTTTAAAACGTTATCGGAGCTTTACTTTGCTACTACGTTTCTATGAATTTTTGATATAAATGTTAAACGACTACTTTCAAGTGATACTTTGTAATGAAAATTCCTCTCACTTGGTCGGAAGCGTCTTCTTTTTTTAAACTCGTTTATTAAAAGGAGACAATTATGAGTCACGTTTTGGAAGTGAGCCTGTATATTCCATCCATTCTCGAGATCGTGCCTCGAATCAATATTGGACCTAAAAAAAAATTCAAAATAACTTTGTAATCTTTCAAGATAGTAATAATAACGTTCGGTATATACGCAACTTGAGAATTTCGATTCAGCGAAAGTTTCGTGGATGTTGATGACGTGGATTTTTCATTGTCCGCGAGAAACATGTGTTTGATTTCTTTCGACAATCGCGACTGACAGTCTTGCTGACGAGAGCCGACAGTAACGGCGGCGGAGGTGCCACGAGCCGCGGGCCGCGCGCACTAGGTGCTAAAAGTATTCAAAAGTGTTTAATCCTGTGGTCGTGGGACAAAATCGAGGAGAACGGGCCCGGGGAAAGGAATCCCGGAGATCGCCAGAGGTGCCGGTCCGAACCGATTAGGCCACGCATCTCCTCTCCTTAGACTAATTTCTACGGCAACATGATCTTTAGGGACGAGATGTGTGATTGAGTCGTTCTTTCTTACGCGCACTTTTGTATAGAACTCGTAGCGAATTATTCTTAATCCCCCTAATTAATGAACGATATTCCCTGCTGCGGCGATTCAAGAAACGAAGCAGTTCGTGCTTCGTAAGGTCCATTTTGTAAGACACAGATGATACTTACCTCGTCCTTTGGAACTTGCGATCGCGAATTTCGTGTGCCGCATTAAAGAAACGAAGGGAATCGTTTTTTTACACGACATCTTGATCCAAAGCATAGTTACAAATTTAGTCATAAATGCGTTGGCTATAGAAAAAATACGGGGTCGGCGGTGATCTCCGGGCGGGCCTGGTGGATGTGAAACAAGTTTTAACCGCGAAATTAACTAAGTAGACGTGAGGGTGGACGCTGATGAAGGACAGAACCCTTTAGTAATATCTAAACTTAATTGTAACTATTAACGATACGTACGACTGTGGTAGCTATGCTAGTACCTGCTATTGTTAAAGAGAAATTGACGAAGATGCGAGTAAGATAAAGATGATGAATGGAGAGAGAGAGAGAGGGAGGGGGAAAAATGCCGCTTGAAAAAAATCGAATTGCAACATGATGTCTCGGTGCGTATCGAGATTGATTGATCGACTCGATATCTGAAAAATAAAGCCTCTTTATCTATAAATATTTCCTACTATGATTTACTTTATCGATTTTGAAAATATAATTTATAGTTATCACAAAATTATTAAAATGATTTCTAAAATTATTCCTTCATAGAATACTAATGTCGATTTTCCAAACGAGTAATGTTAAAAATCACTTTTGATAACATTTGATAAATTTATTTTCTTTTTAGATACGCACTCGAGTATCATTCTGCATCGAGATCAGTTTCGCATCGCGTTCCGTCAACGAGTCTCGCAAACGATGACGCAAAGAGAATTCATCTCTCAACGAAATGGATCTGAGTTAAAATTTCTCTCCTATTTTTGATCTCAATTTTCAATCCAATATCTATTTGATACTTTATAAACAAGATTATTTTCCTTTGAAAGTGTTTAATCTACAGTTATGTCGTAAGCTCCTTTTTTAAATCTCTAAGTAGGAAAACTATTCGTTGTTTATTTGAAATACAAAAATAGGTAACTTAATTCCTATATGAATTAAAAATCGAAATCTTTCAAAAATCATGAGAAAATTGCAAGTAAAAATAGGAGCAAAATTTTAATTCGGAGCGCTCCTCTTTTTCTGTCGCCTCGTCACGATCGAGAGAATGCGGCGTTTGGTAATTTTTCCAACGGTTCGACCGTGATTTCTTGAGCGGCATAATTTTTTTGATTTTTTTCACGAAAATTAAATCGAAGAAAAATCCGTTGATCTTTGCATCGCGAGTCTTGGGCACGACTAACTTTTTGCGCAAGAAGAGATTCCGGCCACGAAAGAGAGAAAGAGAAAAGGTGTTTCTCTCTCCTGGCACGAGATCCCGAAAGTTTCAACGTCGCATTCTACTGACATTTCAAGCAGCCGGACGACGAAGACGACGGTTGAAAAGAAATCCGTGCGCGGACGGAAAACTTTTGGAAATCATCGCGTCCGCGGAAACTTCGCAGACTTTAAACGAATCTCGGGCCTTCGGGCTTTCGAATGGCACTCGAATAACACACGACGTTTATATGAAAGACGTCGGCTTACGGTCGACGTGTACGCGATTCGAAAATTTCACGATCGAGCGAGGGCGACGGAAAGGAAGGAGAGAGGAGGAACGACGGAGTACAAAGTGCGAAATTACGGGGATAGGACGAGACATAGGAGGAGAGAACGAGAGTGGCAACTCACAATGCAATAAGTCGCGAATCAAATGGATCTCGGGCTTGAGACGAGAGGCTCAGATTAGCGAAGAATCAAACACGATGTATACTCTTCAAAACAAACAAACAAACAAAAGTGAAACTAAGAGAATAAAAAAACGGGGATATACTAAATACATAGGAGATGCGCGCAATAAAATGCGCATTGGGCGCGAATAGAGCGGCACGAATCAACAGTGAGAAAGAGAGAGAGAGAAAGAGAGAGAAAGTGAAAGAACGAGAGGAAAAAATTAAGCGAATCTAATTAATACTGATAGAGCATATATTAATTGAGATACAAAAAACATAGTATTATACGTTTACGATACGATTGTAATGAACACTTTGTAAGCGAGAAAAAAAAAGTTACGCATAGTTTTTTCCATACCCCGTAAAATGGATGTACTAATTCGTTGAAAGGGAAAGTTCAGACAGAAGTCACACATATAAGTAAGTGTACACATACGCGCACACGTACACACACACACACATACACGTACACATTTGTTCAAAGTCACTCGGGTACACACAAGAGTTTATAAGAAGAAAAAAAAGAAGTCAGTAATCTGTCTCTTTAAAGTATCATGTGTCTATAAACTATAGCGAGATCGATATTGTCTCTTACATAAATGGCAAAAAAAAATAATACAAATAACCGTGGTAACGTCGTGTAAAGTAGCGATAAAACAAACACACTCTGCAATATATATATGACATAATATATATATACATATATATATATATATATAATATATATTCTTACATTTATAAAGGTGAAACACACATATGCGAGGAGTGTATGTGGGACGAGCAGTTTGCAGGAAGCCCGAAAGACCGTGCGATCTCCGCGCATCCGAGAGGTATCGAACGACGCGAATGAATAAAAAAAAAATCAATCTTCTTCCATCTTCCGCCAAAATTATCCCGAACGAGAGGAGAGAAGAGGATGGCGTATTTCGATATCGTCGAATGTGCATGGAGATGTCGCACGGATACACACGACACGTATACATACACACACAATGTACACACACACAAGAGAGATTTCCAAAAAAAAAAAAGAAACTATCGATTCTACCAAGTAATGAATTAAACAAGAGGATGATAATTAGATTTGTAATTAATTACATATATATTTTTCAATACTTTAACTACTTGCTGAATGTAAACTATATACATATATATAAATATATACATATATATATTATATATATAATTATAGATATATATAATATGTATATTGTACATACACACACTTAATGCGCGCAGGATGCGCGAAAGAGAAGGGTGCGGCGACGAAGGCCGCCTCGCGGAAAGTCTCGCGAGGAAACGCGAGAAGAAGATCGAAGGAGAAGGTCATTATTAACGCAGATATGCAATGATTTTTGCTCGAAAAAATCGGCTAAAACAATCGTCCTTTGATGTTCGGCGTCTTCCGGAAGACTCTCGGCGAGCGTCCCTCGATCGGTTTGCTCGTTTCCGTCTTGGCTGCGAGCCACGAGGATCGACAGAGGAAATACATGAAATGAGAGGGGAGAGATTATCGTGGTAAATATCGATGCCAAGCGGAAACGCGAACCCTTCCTCGTCGAGGAGGCGGAAGAGTTCTGTGAAATCTTTTTGTACCCCACCCAAGTCACACTCTCGGTGTCGAAAAAAAAAAGAAAAAAGTACGTTACACTACGTGTAAGCGAATCCTAAATGTAACTGTTAATTGCCCCTACTCCAATACCCCCCATCCACGCAATTTGTAGAGAAAAAAGAAGATCGTGCGAATGGGAAAGAATGAGTTTGAGTGTGTGTATGTGTCTGTAGATACGAATGTATGTGTATGTACAACTGTGAGGACACGTTCGTTCGCCTTAATTACTTTTTTCCTCGATGCAGAATGAGAAAAATTGGAATTACTTTCGCATGCCTATGATTGTTATAAAGCACACATATATATTACACATATATATGTGTGTGTACGTGTATTACTTACGATTATATTATACTATTACGATTATGATTAATTCTCCTTTAGTCGCGAAAAAGAAAAAGAGAGACGGACATACTGGGCGCCTATATATCTATCTATATATATATAGGTTCTTTCTCACATCTCACCCATTTCCTTGTCTCTTTTATTTTTCTTTTTCTTCTTTTTTTACATATACATATATATATATTAGAGATGTATTTTCTGTTGGCTTTAGATTTTTTGTTCCTTTATTTTTGTACGAAGACACGACATTGACGACGACGTCAATTTTACCTACATATATATACATATATATATATATGAATATTATAATTGTAGCTCGCTTAAGATTGTTTAACTTTTTTCTTTTGATATAGTTTGTTATTGTTGTTTTTGTATGATATTTGATTACATTAGTAGCGCGTGTCGCGCGTGACACAAAAATATAATATATAAAAAAAATATATATATATTACTATATTATATATATAATATATATTTTTGTTAATATATAATACAGTGGTTTGATAACTACATTAGCCTGTTAACGATGGATTTGTTTCTGTTTCTGTCACGGCCCGTGAATATATATAGATAGACACATGCATATACGTGAAATATATACATATATATATATATATATATACACGTATGTATGTATGTATGTATATGTATATGCATATGTATATGTATGTACACTTATATAAATATTGATTATATATATATATATATATATATATATATATATATATACATATATATATACATATATACCGCTACATTATATTTTGTTTAACAGTGTCACGAAGCGACGACGAGGCGTTTCTTGAAATTTATCGAGCGACTTGTATGGGGCTCCGACACGAAATATTGATATCGAAAAAACTCGCGTGTAATATAACTTATAATATCATTTTGTAAATTATTTTTTGTATTTTTATATATATACATATATATAAATAACGAAAGCATACAAAAGAGAGTCGCGGAACAGTGTTATGCGTATAGCGAGAAATCTCGACACAGAGAGAAAGGGAGAGAGAGAAAGAGAGAGAAATAGACAAATCGAGCGAGAGAGAGGGAGAGAATGCGACAAAAAGAAATCCGTTTAAGATGGAAAAAAAGAAACAAAAAAATCTCGCGACGCATTAATTAACACTGACGATACTTAATCGATTGCTGACAGTCCTTTCGTTGATCGAGAGCAGCGCCGATAAAGATTATTATCATCGATATGATTATGTGAAATGGCATATCCGCGCTTAAATGCAAAACATTTGTAAAATAATACGATTATATATACACACAATGCGCATGTATGTACACATGCGCGCAACATTTAATTTAATACGACACACACGCCAGTTCCGAAGATTATGATTAACTCGTTTCCGATTATATTTGTACCTCTCTGTATGTATTTTGCAGCTTGTCAGTGCTTTTTGTTCGTTATTACATACTTTAAATATCGATCATCTCGTCTTTTTGTACCAGTCTCTTTTCTCTGTTCGTCGAGATAGAAATGCGATGAACTTTCATCTCTATTCATTCAGTCCTTAGCGAATAGATAATAAATTCCAAAGAGAGCGCGACCTCGGACGCGATTATTTCGGCAACCTCGCAGAAATAATTACAATAGCGTAACCAGATATGGTATTATTTTTCGAGCATCAAGCGGACAGCGAATAAATAGAAAAGCATGTTCTGGATTCCCACGACCGCAACTATTTAACTCTTTCCACTCGACGAAATTTTATTACAACGTTACATGTTTGTATGAAATGATGTATTAATTTATTTTTCAACTAAATTACTATTTTACTTATTTATTTTCTAACTTGTGTTTTCACATTTTATTTTTTTACAGACAAGAATATACTTATATATATTTTTGTTCGTAAAAAAATGTGAAAACAAGTAGATGCGGGAAAGGGTTATTGAGGGTACGTCTGCTTTTCGCTATAAATGATACTGAAATATCTCTCAGGCTATCGCCTGGCGCGTGATTATTTTCGATGCGACTGATAATTTGGAATATTTTGCCACGTCGAGGATCGGCAATCGAGGAAACCAAGGGCGGTCGAGGGTTGAATCCACGAGGAAAGATTTATCGTCCCCGCCGGTCTCGGATTATCCCCAAGTGCGGCGCGTAAGATGTTATCGGTCTTATGTAAATTAACTCCCATTCGAACTGTAACGCAGTCTGATTAATTATGACAGATAATTGCCTCATATCTCGCAAAGCTCGGAATAGTCGCCTAATCGATTTTGACAAGTAAAGTATATTTCGATCGCGGGATGAGGATGAAATGACGAAGAAGAGGTGATTTGCTCGATAAAAAAAAAAATCTCAGCCGATCATCTCTTTTTTCCGACCGATAGCGATTACTTACACGCCGTTATCACGAGTCGGCGAAAGATAGATCTCTTTTCGCACGTAGCAAAGGAGGCACGGCACAAGCGTGAGATTTCGAAAGTAATCAAAAAAAAAAGGGCGACAACAAAATTCACTATTACGTTGTCGCATCTCGCCACCTCATTCTTGAATCGACCCGTGGGCTTTTGTAGAAGATCCGTCGACAAGTTTCAAGAAATTTCGCTTCATGCATGAGAGAACAGGAAGAAGAAAGAGAGAGCGGTTTCTTGATTCTCGTGTTGCATACGTGCGTGTCTACGTGTGAGAGAAATGTAGAGAGAGAAAAAGAGTGTGTGCTTTTTTCGTGAACGTTCTTTCTTAGTTTCTCATGCGAGCACGATGGACGAGGGTGGTTGCCGAACGAATATCGATCGTTTGGAGATCGAAATCGGGTCGTCGTCGATCGATCTCGCCCTCCTTCGATGTCGCATCTTCGGGACGAGATTATCGCAAAATTTCTCCCCGTGATCTGATTCTTTATAGTTGAGTTGTCGTAATTTGACTCGATCGACGAGATTGTCAAACAGTGCGAAACAGTAAGGTACACTTGGTTTTCCGTCGAGGATATTTTTTTTTTCTCAAGGAAATAAAAAGTCGTCAGTCTCCGTTAAAAGAGGATACACAATCTTCTCTGAATTTGTAATTAGCTTCTTATTAGTAAACGATTTACAGAAACAAAGATGTATAATTATAAGGTAGGCTTAAAATGTACGATAAAAAATTCCTCGCGCTTGGATAAATCTAATGAATTAAATGGCGATGGATCGAGCGACGTCAAGGGAGAAGAAATCGAACGACGAGGATCAGCGGACGAAATCCGGGACGATATCGTCGGTGAAGTGAAAAAAAGGGCAGGGCGCCTGGTATTAGTACACATTAGTTTCTTGGCTAGAGGGGGGCGCCCACTTAGTTGTTGGAATTTTATAGTCTAGACGATAATTCTCGAGTATAGTTCAATGTTGTCGAGTTTTCTATTAGTTGAGTGTGGCGAGAGAAGAGAGAAAGAAAGAAAGAGAAAGAGTGCGTCGGGGAAAGCCGGAATTTTGCCCAACAATAAAAAAATCACAATATTTATACAGTTGTTTGAAAATATATAGTGTCTGTAGAATTTTGATGAAAATTTAATACCGCGGTCACAATGATTGAAATTTGCCGAAACATCAAAATGATTGGAGGGCTTGAGGGAGGAGAGAGAGGGAGAAAGAGAGCGTTCTATAAAAAATGACGATATCCTCTTCGTCTCGCGTGGAGTGAGAACGAAATGAAATTTTATCGGAAATACGAGGCTTCGATTTTACGGCGTCGAAGGTAATTATTGAAACGGTAATATCGTACTCGTCGCCCGAAACCGCTTCGGTATCGATAAAACATTAGCGCGAACGCGCGCGTCGTTCCTCTTGGCTCGTTTATTGTGCCGTAAATCCCAGCGAGCTAATTGCCCGGCGTTCATCTCCAGAACAGACGCGATTTTAACGGATCTGACACGAGCGATGGATGACGTAATTGCGAGAAGATCGTCCGAGCTGCGTAAGAATGACTTTGGAGATACAGGAGCAAAACGTGATAAATAATGTTGGCTAATAGAAATATATATTTATAAATCACGTTATCGCGAATATTGGCTAATGGAAATATTTATGGAATTATAGCGATGTCAAAAAATTGATAACGATATCGTGATG